CCCTCCCCCTCCTCAGCCTACTCAGCATGAAGCTGCTGAGAACCAGGACTGTCATGATGACCAACTTTCATGTAACAACAATATGTTTTCTCTGTCTTATGATTTTCTTAACATTTTATTTTCTCCAGCTTAGTTTATGGTAAGAAAGAATACAGTATATAATACCCATGACATGCAAACTAATGTTAATTGACAGTAACAGTGAGACTTCCAGTTAAGTTCTGGGGGAGGCAAAGGTGATACATGGACTTTCATGTGGGGGTAGGTGCCCCTAACCCCTGCCCTGTTAAAAGGTCAACTGTAGTTTTACTTTACTAACACAGTGCAGTGCCCAAACCAAGCTTAGCAAAGGCTTCTTTATGAAGGAACTAGAAATTATGTATTTTTTAGCATGGATACATTCCATGGTGAAAAGTAGAAATTTATAGGCATCAAAATGGTGCAAATAAATCCATTAATAACATAAAAAATGTCACTTATACATTGGAGGATTTCCTTTTTTAAATACAGAAGAATTTTTTATTAAAACTCTTTAATTCTCATAACACTATTCAGGTGTTGTTTCTGAAGAGAGATCAAAACTGAAAAATAGAGACATGGCTATGAAAAAGGTACATGCCAAATTGTTAGCAGGCAGCTCCAGGAAGAGGCAAGTGACAGATACAGATACAGTCTAGAAAGATTCAGGTACAATGAATCTTTAAAAAAATTCAGATTAAGGGCAGCGCCTGTGGCTGAAAGGAGTAGGGCGCTGGCCCCATATACTGGAGGTGGCAGGTTCAAACCTCGCCCCGGCCAAAAACTGCCAAAAAATACTTCAGATTAATGTGAGGGTTCAAATGATTGGGTGACGTTGTTGTGTTTGTTAGGTAAGTCCACGTTATAGTTGAGCCCTTCACCCAGGTGGTGCCATGTACCCTGCATTGTGCCCATTGGGTGGGAGCTCAACAATACCCCTCCGTCCTTTCCTCCCTCTCCCTGTGCTTCCCTCCCTTGAATTCAATTGTTTATGGGTGTGTAGTTGTTCATTTACTGTTTCATATTAGTATTGAGTACATGAGTACATTGGATAGTTACTTTTCCATTTTTGCAATACTTTACTAAGGAGAATGATCTTCAACTCCATCTAGGTTAACACAAAAGATGTAAAGTTTCCATCTTTTTTATGGCTGAATATGAATAGTATTCCATGGTGTACATATACCACAGTTTATTGATCCATTCATGGGTTGCTGGGGATTTGGGTTGATTGCACATCTTAGCAATTGTGAATGGAGCTGTGACAAACATTCCAGTGCAAACGTCCTTAAGGTAAAATGATTTTTTGTCATTTGGATAGATACCTGGTAATGTGATTGTGAGACAAATGGAAGGTATGCTTTTAGCTCTTAGAGGATTTTCCATACTTCTTTACACTGGAGACTTTCTGAATTGTGATTTGAAGATCTGTGTGCTGACTCATAAAAAATGATTGTGATGTAATCCTTAGACCCTAGCAGGATCTTTAAAAATTCAATATCAATTATATGAACAAACACGTAATTATACTTTTGGCCCTAAAGCACACTTTTAGCAGAGTGAAGGGAGATTATTTTCACTACACTTAAGACATATTATCAGGATTCATATAATAGGTGTGAAATGAGTGGTTGTTTAGGGGCATTTGCCCTCAGCACTGTCCTTACCCACATATGCAGTGAAGTAACCAACAATCTGTCAGGACAAAGAAAGGCCACTACTCCAGTTTCTTGAAATTGCTCTTCCTCATCTCAGCACAGCAAGCGAAATGCTGTATATAAGAATCCACTTTTACATGGGTTGATATTCTATGTACACATGAATTCCAGCATGTTAATTCTAGCATGTGAGTGGGTGGTGAGTTGTGATGTGGCTCTCACAACATCCCAGGTTAATCTACAACCCACCATAAAATGCTCAAAATGGGTCAGTCTTGATATAAGGTAGGTGCGGATCTCATGGCTTGACAATATTGAAGGGGATTACTCCACTGGCTCTGTGAGTGGCTCCATTCACAAGAGTCACGTAGTTCTTCAACATGATTAGTACAGTGTAACTATCCTAATGTCAAGGTGAATAGTGATAATTACCATTTACTGGGCATTTCCGTATATTCCTCGTTTATGTATCATCATCTCTCACGTGATTTGCTTAAGAGCAGGTAGGTATCTTTATTCTTATTTTCAAATGAGAAATCTGAAACTTTCAAATGTTAAGTAACTTAGTATATGCTGGAATCTGTATATGGAAACCCAGAGGTTTGAATCTAAAATCTTATGATCTATATCATGTGTCACATCAATGTAAACTATCACCCTCTAAATTTCCAATTAGAAAAGGACTAAGCAATTTCCAATGTAAAGAGCTCACTTTCCCTTCAAAGAGAAAGTGAAACATTCTGATGACAGACAGGCACCACTGGCACTCACCTAAGTAGGAAGAAAGAGTAAGAAAATGTCTGATTTAATCACAATGCATACATCATATGTGAAAACATCATATTCTATGCAATAAATATATACAATTTTTACCTTCCAATTTAAAAAATTAAATTAAAAAAATGGGAAAAACAGGATTGGAACAAAAACAAAACCTATAAAGACAGAAGGGCACAGTGTAGACCAACCACCTGAGCTCCAAACAAAATCTTCACCAGAATCTTTTCGAATCTGCACGCAAGTCTGTAAATCTTTCTGAATCACAAGTGCCTCATCCACCAACAGAGATGACAGCACAGGCCCCCTGGGATGGGCAGTGCCCAGCCAGCCTTCTTTCCCATGCTCAGTCACACTTTGACGTGGAGTCTTTTTTCCATCTAAATTTTCTGCTGAGAAGGCCTTGAGAAGCCTCCATCTTTCCACAGAGCTTTTCATTTCACACGTGGGCAAAATTAAACTGCATCCTTGTTTCCCATGGCACACTGAAAGTTTCTTATCATCTAATCCATGAGGAGTACTTCTCTTAGAATCTGGCCCACACCACTGAGTCCTGGGAACCTGAAAGCTGGTCATCTCACCTCCCTCTCTACTGCCCCCATCCATAAAAAGTAACAGATGGCTCACACAAAATACACTCTCACGAAACGTGGAATAGAAGGCAGGAACACGACTATTTCATCCTACTAAGTGTATGATATTATTACTCACTGTGACATGCCATTAAAAAGTAAGTAAGCTTTTCAAAAGTATCCTAGAATCAGGACAGATGCACTGTGACCCACATTCCTAAAAAGGCTGTTTTACTGGAACAATCAGGGAAGAGATCTGCATCTCCAGGACAAGGAAACAGAACAAGGTTGTTTTCTCCCCCTAAACTCAGAAAAGCCCAGCTGTGGAGTAGCCTCTACATCCAAGTCAGTCCAGCCAAGCAGCTCCCTTTCTCTTCATTTTACCTGACTGTCCTAATTATGCCCGGCTGGGTTCCAAGGGCGCCCTCAGAGCTCAGCCCTTTACCTTGCCATCTATCCAGCGTGCCACCAGCAGGGATCACTCCCAGCCGCTAGCGCTGCTCTTGCAGAAATTCTCTTTTTGAAAATCAGTTTAATCATAAATTTCTGCATCAGAGCAAAAGAGAGCAGACGTCAGGGTCAGATGAATTGAAATTCAAATCCCCTTGGCTTCTGCCGTTCTCAGCTGTGTGAATTCTTTCTGTTCGCTTTCTAACGCTGCCCTTTATCCACCTGTTAAACGGAAAAATGATCGCTATCGAGCAAGGTTACTGCGTGCGAGCCCAGACGGTGCAAGTGGAGTTTCCGGTGCGTGCCTAGTTTGGCAACAATAACTAGGCAATAGATGCGACTTTGATGAGAGCCCCGGGCCACATAAAGAAGTGGGGAGGGAGGTGGTTCGAAATCTGGCCACTTCACAGAGCGGATGAGAAAGGGATTGAGGTGGAGACTCACGTACATGAAGCGATTTTTGATTCTGTTTTGTTTTTAGTTCGGAGGCTCTGTCATTTGAGGAACTTCATCTATCCTTGTTAAAGATAATAGGCTGTCACTGTCCAGTCTGGTCTCAAAGAACTTTACCCGTTAATGCGGAACTTTTCTATTAACTGTCTGTCTGTTGTAGCGTTCAGATCAACTAAAAGTTGTGAAGCTGTGTCAGACAGTTTGAACGGCGGGGATTCTGAGTGCCAGGTCCCAGCCCCACCTCCACTCCCACTTGCGAATCAGGCCGGGAGCCCGTCCCCCTCGCTCCGGGGGTTCCCTTGCTGAGCCGCGCGGCTGTGCCCGCAGCTCGCGTGCGGAGTCGCGGCCCCGCCCTCCAGCCCCGCCCACCTTGCAGACGTCACGGCCCCGCCCCGCCCCCGCCCGGCTATAAAGCGGCAGGTGCGCCCGCGCCCGGGGCACGTTCACTCACCTGGGCTCCCTTCGCGTCGCCGCCCGAGCTCCGAGCCCAGCCCAGCGCGCAGCACCCACCGCCCGGAGCCCGCCGGGCTCGGAACGCGGCCGCGCGCACCCCTGTCCCGGTCCCCCCAGCTCTGCTCTCCCGCTGCAGCTCCCCATCGAGTTGCCCCAGAGACCCAGACTCTGCCGCCCCGAGGGACCAATGAGAGCCCCGCTGCCTCTGCCCGCGCCGCTGCTGCTGTCGCTCTGGATTCTCGGTTCAGGTGAGGACCCAGCGCTCTGCAGCTCTGCGGCTGCTTCTGCACAAAATGCCCTTTGGTGCCTCAAACTCCAAACCCTGTGGAGGGCATCTCTGTAGCGCCCTCTCTGAGTTACACCCTAGGAGGAGGAGGGAAGCGGGCAGACGCCTCAGGTGTCCTCACAGCTTAAGGAGACCTTAGTGAACATTGATCCTAACCCCTCGTTTTACAGAGAGAGAAACTGAGGTCCAGAGAGGGGAAGTGATTTCCGCACTTCTCGGAGTAGTTAATTCACGGACGGAGGATTCCTCAGCTTTCCATCTCCTCTGTCTAGTGATTTCATTTTTACTTCCTAGAGGGACTTACGGTGTCCCAGGGAGAGGATGAAGCTGCCCTTGGATGCTGCCTTGTGGAGATCTAGCAGATAAGCTGTGGCTGGAAGCTCTGGCCCAAATCTTATGTAGTGGTGCTTGTTCTCTGTGTAATGATAACAGTGAAACATAACAATGTCAGTTATTGTCAACTACTATTTATTTTACTTATTATAATTTATATACATCATCTTTTTAAAATGCAAGCACGTGTAAAGAAAATCTGATGTTTCTATCTAGAACCTGTTGAAATGAGACAGGATACATTCTAGCAAACACACGCATTTGGAATGTGAAGTGATGGGGATAAATATTACCAATTAAGTAATTATATTAGATTAATTTGCCAATTTGGCAGTATTTTTGATATGGAAATTAATGTAAACTATCTGTGGAAAAGAAAACCTTGATAAAAGAATCTCTATAATTGGAACAGTGAGTCTGCTTGTTGGCAAAATGTGAAGTTTCTTTCCCTGTAACTCCACTGCAAGCAACAGCACATGCTTTGATGGAAGCTAAACATTCCTACCTGAGGCTGCTCCTGGGGAGAAAGGCACCCTACCTTACCCTTCCTTTCTGCTTCACTCCCCTGCAGGCCATTATGCTGCTGGATTGGGTCTCAACAACACCTCCTCTGGGAAAGGGGAACCATTTTCTGGGGACCACAGTGCTGATGGATTTGAGGTCACCTCAAGGAATGAGGTGTTCTCAGAAAGTGAGATCCCGCCTGTGAGTGAGATGCCTTCTAGTGGTGAACTGTCCTCAGGAACCGACTATGACGACTCAGAAGAGTATGATGAACAACTACAAGTATCTGGGTATATCATAGATGATTCCATCAGAGGTGAGTGGAGGACAAAGTGCAAAATGTAGCTTATGAGGTGTGAGTCTATAAGAGCAAAACTGCTTCAGAAGAAGAAACACTCCCGGCATTTGCCAGGGGCTTCCTTATGTGTACATCTGTTGCATGCACTGAGGTAAACCAGGACAGAAATTGTAACCTGTGGCACCCCCTGTATGTCCAGCGCTAACAACTGTTTTATGTCTTATCTCTTAAGTCACAACACCTTTATTAAATAGGAATTGTTATTCTCATTTTATAGTTATGGTAACTGAAGCTCAAAAAGGGTAATTGTTTTGCCCAAGGTTACACAGGTAGCAAGAAGATGAGCTGGGATTGGAACCCCATCTGTTTGATTCTCTGCCTAAGAGATACCAGGCTCTTTTCCATGGGGCTCCAGGAGCTCCGTCTGAGAGACATATTTAAACAGGGCCACTCCTATCTCAGCTTTCGTGTCCCCTCCTGGACACCCCCCTGCCCCCAGATAACTGCATTTTGACACAAGTAGGGGAACAGAAGGAAGCAATGGGATGGGACTTCAGCCTTTAAATCCTAGGTATAGAGAAACTGGTGAAAATAATAGTAACGATAATGTTACCTGGAAATACTAAAGAAGGCCAAATATTCATAGATTTTATATTGCTAAAGTCATAATTTAACCCTAAATCCCATTTCTCAGGTAAATAGTAGTTTCCCTAATTTTTGCTGTTATTTCACTTTTAACAATGACCCTTTGCTTAAACTGGGGATTCCAAAGATAAATATTGTTAATATTGTTTAGTACCTTCATATTTGAAGTCTGAGGGAAGAACAGGTTATCTATAAATAAGACTTAGATATCCTAGGAGCATGTGCTGTGGGGGCAGGAACAGATGGTTTGAAAGCTAAACCCTCTTCTCTTTGACCTGAGTTTCCAAGCCATCCTGGATTGGCTCTGTCTGGTTCCTGGAATAGGTGAAGGCACATAAGGGATACCAAAGGGACAGTGACTAAAGTTAACTGACAGGTAGTAAAAGTTTTAGTGAACTCTCCATTTCAAAGTGTCCGGAAACTGTTCCTCTAAAGATGTCTCAGGCTGCTAAAACTTCAGGAGGCCAAATAAACTATTAGTGGTGCAAATAGCTAGGCTAGTGATCAGAATTGTAACGCATTGTGAACTAGAATGAAAATGGTGTTGACCTCCTTTGAAAGGCTAAGTTAAATGTCCATGGGGTTAATATCTATTGCAATACTTCAGTGTGGTGACTATTTATTATTTGTTCCTGTCTATAATTTGTAACCTATCTGATAAAATGCAGTGATGTTTATTTAAAATATTTTCCTTAAAGGACTTATACTATCTTGTGCTTTATTTTTTATCATGAGAGGAAATTTCAATATAAAAGTTACATAACCATGTATAAAACATTGATTCTAAATTTTAATGCTATTAAAATAACTTGCAAAAATATTCTTAATATTTATTTGCCATTTCCTTAATCAAAGGAATCCTATCTTTGATACCCTTGTTGACCTTCACTGTGTTTCTAATTATTTTATTTGATAGATGATGCATGACTGTTATGACCAGTGATATTTCCTCTTCTTATTGGGCATCTTTTTGTTAACTACTCAGATAAACCTTTTCAGAGATTAATGTAAAAAACCGTACAGGGCTTATGTGGGAAGGCCCTCTCTATCATAAGCATGGGGACAGGTTACACCTTGTCTAACTTTGAGACCAAACAAAAGTGCAGATCTGATAGGTAAAAATAAATCTCTGAAGCATCAAATACAAACGTACCTGGACTTCTGTTTTCAAATGAATTGACCATAGCAATGAGCTCCGTGGAAGGTATTGATTAGTTATCTGCCGTCACCTGGGAGTTGGAAAAAATTGAGTAACTGTAATTTATAATCCTCAGTATTTTCTACCTGCAGGCGGTGCCCACTAATTAACATCTCAATCAATGGCATTGACCTTTTCCAAGGGACGACATAGTATAACAGAAAAGTCACAGGCATTGGCACTCCAGCACTGCCATGTTCTAGCTGCTTGTCCAAGGACACTTGTCTTCACTGTAATTCACATGCCTCATCTATACCACATAGATATACATACATACATACATAGATACATACAATTGTCTTGTGGGTTAATTAACTCATCCTCATTACCAAGAACTTGGCAAGCATTAGAAATTCAAGAAATGTTTAAAGGTTTTAATGGATTTTCTTTTTTTTTTGCCGGGGTTGGGCTTGAACCTGTGCCACCTCCAGCATATGGGGTCAGCACCTTACTCCTTTGAGCCACAGGCACTGCCCTAATGGATTATCTTAATCACAAAATTATTATCAATAATAATAATGATGAGGCACATTGATTCAATGTATGTATCTTAGTTAATAAAACAATCAAAGTATTTCGGCTTTTAAGTACCACGTGGCACGGATCCTCTCTTTGCCCCCTTACCGTGTCTGTGCTGTGTGGGGGACCCACCGAGGAGCTCCCCCTGCTCTGACTCTGCTCTCCTCCCCAAAGTGATGTTCAAGACTGAGAGGGCATGTCGTCAATAAATATTATTTTTTTTTTTAGTGGAACAGGTAGTGAAACCCAAGAAAAACAAGACAGAAAGTGAAAAGACGTCAGATAAGCCCAAAAGAAAGAAAAAGGGAGGCAAAAATGGAAAATCCAGAAGAAACAAAAAGAAGAAGAATCCATGCGATGCAGAATTCCAAAACTTCTGCATTCATGGAGAATGCAAATACATCGAGAACTTGAAAGCAGTCACATGCAAGTAAGTTTCCTAACCTGTATAGAATTCTGTTTTTCCAGCACCATGTCTGAAACCCCTAACTGCAGGAAACCATTAATTTTTCTAATTGCAAAACCAATGATCAGTAAAAATTTTATTAGAGAAACAGATAGTAAATATTTCAGGCTCGGTGGCCAAAGATTATGTGTGTACTTATATAAACAATTAAATGTAATCATTTTAAAAATGTGAAAACCGTTCCTAGCTTACAGGCTGTAAAAAGCTGACAAATGACCAGATCTGAATCCAGACTTGGCTTGTAGTTTGCTGAACCCTGGTAAAAACTATCATTTTAAAATATATATGTTTTTACTCTTTTTAAAAAAGGACTCAAAAGTAATTTTCACACTATCTTTTGTGTTGTTCTAATTACCCCCCACCAGCCGCAGGCATGATAAGTGATTGTAGGATGTATTAGCTGCATGACAAGCCGCTGAACTCATCAGTGGGTCATGGGAGGAGCATGAGGAACGGCAAGGTGTGTCTTCTTGGAACATCACACCCAAACTCATCCCGACTTGTTCTCATGCTCACAGGTCCTTAGTTAGAACGCATTTTATGTCTCATGATTTTGAAACACAAGAATGGCATGACTTTCTTTTTCAATGTTAAAATTCACTGGCCAGTTATGAAATGGACAGTAAGCTTAAACCACACAGAATATCTCTAGTGATTATAATTTTTAAACGTGGATTGTTTGCAGATGTCATCAGGAATACTTTGGTGAACGATGTGGGGAAAGGTCCATGAAAACACACAGCATGATTGACAGTGATTTATCCAAAATGGCATTAGCGGCCGTGGCCGCCTTTGTCTCCGCCGTGAGCCTCACAGCTATTGCTGTTGTTATTACAGTCCAGTAAGTAGCCACAGCTTAAAAATTCTTAACAAAATCGTGACAGGTTACTTTTTAAAGGTATTTTTCTCTTGCTCTACTGATATTTTAGATGAATATGAGTACTAATGGGGGTGTGATCTATGGTTTATATTTTTATACTTCATCAACAAAGATCACAGAAAATGGTCAACATTTATATGTAACTGTGGTCATCATTGAAACTTAATGTGTGAATCCCTTTTCAGAAGATCTAGAAAATTCTAAACTCAAAATTAATGAATTTTTTTTTTTACTTTTTTTTTTTGCAGTTTTTGGCCGGGGCTAGATTTGAACCCACCACCTCTGGCATATGGGGCTGGTGCCCTGCTCCTTTGAGCCACAGGCACTGCCCAAAAGGCTAGTTAATGAGTATTTTTAATGTCATATTTCTATTCCTGGGTCCTTTCAAATATCAGAAAGTGTTGGTATCATCTGTGGGATCTTAAGCTTAAGTAAGTCTCCCAGAAGCTAATTAAGGCCTGGCTCAGAGCAGAGAGTCATAGTATCAGACATACTGTGTTGGTGCTAAAAATCACAAACAACTTCAATATAGTAGCAACCAAAAAAGAGGTGCCTTCTGGTCATATTAGAATGCAAAATTATGAGTTAGAAATATTATCACATGGCACAGATTTACTTGGAGCTTATGCTTATTTTGTTACTGTCAAATATGACAACATGGAAACTCAATTATTAAAAAGAAAAAAAACATTTCCACCACATGATACGGTGTAGGAGGCAAAGACAATTCCATCACTGTTCACTCCGGCAGCAGCATCCTGTGCTCGTAATAACAGATCACAAACTTCACTGCACGGCCGATGACTGTGAGAACTAGACTGTCCCTCGTAGCAGATACTAATGGGTACACCAAGATGGCATTGTCTGTCAGACAGAAGCCACTGGACGAGGGAAAGTGGGGGAGGCCACGCATGGCTCTGTGGTGACTCATGTGCTGCTAGAGCTTGGGAAAAGCAAGGGACTCATTCTTCTAATTTGGGGTCTGGGTAAATTACTTTAACAACCAGATCTCTACCTCTGCTGCCATCCAGCAGATGAGGGGTTATCGTCTGCCAATTTTTGGTGTTATTTTAGATCAGATCATGATAGAAAGACAACGTAAGAAACTGTTTTATCATAAACTTTATGGGTTAAATTTGTTTTGCACAGCCTAAATTTATCCTGGTCTTCTAGTTCCTTAAGCTCCATACACAAACGTGCTTTGGAGAGATATCCTCAGACAACTATTATCATTTCACACAGAAGGACAGAACAAAACACTTGCTAGTTAAGGAAGATTTTTAATAATCGTTAAAACATCATTGGAAACAAAAAGAAAACACTTAGCCAAAGTTACAGCTGCTCGGTTTTTCCCCATGATTGATGTCTTCTCAAAATATCACAACAATGAAAAAGTCCTTGTGATTTTAATGATAATGTTTAATAAATGGATTTAAAATCAACTAAAAAGACAATTGCCTGTGTAATGCTAGGAAATTTTTAAACTACTGTATTTTTAAAGAAGAAAGTAGCAATAAATAAAAATTTATACTTACAAGTAAAGCCCAGTTTGTTTTGTAAGTCTGTTTAAAAACATGTCAATCATTTAAATTGTCTGTGCAAGCATAGATCACTTCTGCAGTAAGCTACGCCATCATTTCTCGTTCAGTGGTGCACAGCAGCTATGCTGAGCTCTGCAGAAAAAAAGACACAGGTGTGTTTTCTGTGCCTTCTGCAAGTTTGTACATTGAGGCATTTATCTAATTCTCAGCCCCCTGGAAATGTGTTTGTATAAAGTCAACATAAATATCTCCCAGAAAAATTGATACTATTTCATAGCTGGGTTTAGGTTTTGGTTTGTGCAAAGTACAACACATAATGGTCTATAAAGACCCTGAAAAGGGATTCTCCGTACTGACAACAATCACAAGAAACACACACAAATACAATTTTGGTAACAGTAGAATGTCTTGTTTTCTGAAGGCTTCGCAAACGATACCTCAGGGAATATGAAGGAGAAGCTGAAGAACAAAAGAAACTTCGACAGGAAAACAGAAATGTGCCTGCTGTTGCTTAATGGAAGATAGTATTAAGGTTTGAGTTTTGAACGTTATTTTTAGATCATATCCTATAGTTTGAAAATGTGCAACACTATGTTGTCTCAAGAAAAATGAGGGCTGTGCTAATTATCAGAACACTGTGCACACAGGCTACATTCAAGTTTTATTGTATTCTTCAAGTACGAGCTGAGTTCAGGATTGAGTTCAATATTAAAAATGGACTCTGCTTAATTGGTATTTTACGGCATATAAATATGAAAGACATCAATTCTATTCTCAAGAAACCAAGCATTTGGTAGATAGGGGGAAAAGTGTAAGGAATGAGAATATTAGGGGACGTGAAATTGGTGTCATACGAAATGAGCTACTGGAGAATGAGCAGTTTGATTCCATGTGGGTGCTCTTAGGGGGCAGGACATGTGTTTCCAGGGGGGCGTTGGAAGTGAACTTTGCAGTACTGATGAGATCAGAACAAGCAATTTTGAAGGAAAAGGAGGGGTAATACTGAGAGATGTGTGAAAAGTAGCCGGGTTGAAGTGAGAGTGGGGAGATAAGGTCGTGGTGATGGGTTGAACTTCCACGAGGAGCCCAGTTGGAGCACAGGCACTAAAAATGGGAGGACGTGGGAGCAACAGGCTGAGTGCTCTTTAGAAGATGGGAATAGAAAGGAAAGAAGATACAAATTTGACAGAGAGGTTGGTGAGGGTATATATTTTTGAGTTTTGCAAAGAGGGAAAGCTGAGCATGTTATAGGCAGAGGTGTGATGATGAAAGTGAACTGCTAATGAATAAAGCATCCAGAGGAGGACGGGGGCAGGGAGATCACTTGAATTGGTCAGAAGGAGGAATGCCCTTTCCTCAGACGTTCGAGAAAGACAATGTCACATCCTTAAGTAACTGATCTGCCTTCGGTGGGCTTACTAGTCACCTGACTAGTGTGCTTAGAAGTGTGCTCCTCAGCCCAACCCTAAATCCCCTGAAGCAGACCTTCTGTTTTGAATGAACATCTCAGACGGTTCTCATGATTGAAGAACCACTATGTTCAGCACTGGTTAAGGACAGGTACTAAGTTCTGAGCCTCTTATGGAATTGGCTCAATAACTCCTGAAATGGATAATTATTCAGACCAATGCTATACTCAGTATTTACTGCATTAAACTTTATGGTGTTGGCTTAATGTGCTGAAGCTAAGACCATTAATGTGAATAAAGATGAGTTTTGGCTATTTAGTGCCACTGAGGTTTCTCATCAGAGGTTCCAGAGTGATTTTAGGACAAGAAATGTGCTGGGCCAGCACACAGTGGCTGCCTATTAACTGGTAGTTACTATTATTATGCTCCTAGTACTAATTATCCTAAATTACCTGTATATCATAAATACACCAAGTCACTTAATCTTTGTTTGTAATTATGTCCACTGCATATGTTTGGTTAGGAAAACTATTGCTCATGCTTGGTGTTTCTTTTTTATAAACCAGAATTGAGGCAACAGCTTAGAGCAGTCTTCCCCACAGGAGGCATCCAACCAGAGCAGGGCTGAGGAGGGATGAAGCCTGAGGGATATTTGTTTCTGAAAAGCTCTGACTGTTTCTTGTAAGACATACTAGAAAAAGAGGGATGGAAATTCTGATTCCTGATTTTGGAATTGGAATTTTCTTAAAGCTATGTTGGAACTTAGCTTATCTGTAACATGTTATTTATTTCTAACAGGAGATCCCGTCGGAGTCATTGCCAAGTCCCAACCGTGAAGGAGTGGGCCCTTCTTTCAGCCGATGACAAGAAAATGGAGCCTTGTTGTTGGATGGTTTTAAACCTTCAATTGTCACTTTTTACACTATGTCTTATTTCTGTACATAAAGATGCATGAAGATAAAGTATTTTTTCAAGTTGTAAATAATTTATTTAATATTTAATGGAAGTGTATTTATTTTACAGCTCATTAAACTTTTTTAATCAAACAGACTGAGAGTTTGAATATCAGTTTTGAGATTGCGAGACTCCAGGGTATTTTCCTCCTAACACTTGGTTGACCACATAAGGATTTCTTCCTCCTTTTTACTATTTTTGTGTTGATTTTTAAAACTTGCTCCTTCTTAGAAAATATTCTTAATGAGAAAATCATGAACTAGAGTCACTTAGTCCTCCTATAAACACCAGCCATGTTTATAAAAATAATCCCAAGCTGTCCTCACAGGCAGTCCCTGACTTATAAACATCTGACTTACATATAACTCACATTTACAAATAAAGTCCATCACAGTAAGTCCCTAAGTTACAAACATCTTACTGATGTACAACTCGCCCTTAGGAAGGAAAGCTATTACAGGTTATAGTTAAATGCACCTGTTCCAACTTACATACAAATTCAACTTAAGAACATAAATCATTTAAGTGCGAAATCTATATATAACTTTTAGTAACTTTTAGACTAGGAATAAAAGAACATTTCTTGAACTTGATAAAAGCTATGGACCAGAATCCATAGCAGAATTTATACTTGCTGGCCAATGAGTAGGTATCCTCCATTTAAGACTAGGGCCAGGACACCTGTCATCACTACTATTGTCTGGCATAGCACAAAAATTCTGATCAAAGCTGTAAGAAAAGATATAGACATAATAAATGTAAGATTTTGTAGGAAGTAAATGCCATTGTTTTTAGACAATACAATATTATCTGGTCAATAGAATCAATATATCATCTGTTTCATGAGATGAATTCATGAGATTTCCAGATAAAATATAAAATTCGAAAATTAACAGTTCTTTTACAAATTAGCCCAATATTAAAAAAGGAATTGCATTCAGAATTGTTAACAAACTGCAAGTTACATATGTCTTAACAATGAATAGCTAAGATTTCACCAAAGAATATTTTACACACCTCTTCTATTAAGTTTGTCATGGACAGACATTCCCTTATTTTAGATTTTATGTTGTAAAGAGGTTAATTCTCTCCCCTAAATGATCTTTAAATTCATCAAAATGCTAATCAAAACTCCAACTGAATACTTTTAGGAACTTTCTCTGCCAAATGCAATCCAGTGAGAAGGTGGCTGTCTGCAAGCCAGGAAGAGAGTCCTCACTGGGGATTGCATCTGTGCCTTGATCTGGGACTGCCCAGCTTCTATAACTATGAGAAATGAATAACTAATGTTTACACCACTCAGTCCATTTTGCTTTGTTTTGCTTGTTTTTTACATTTACCAGTTTATTACAAGGGATATTTCAGAGGTCATAAACCTCTGAAAAGTGCCATGGGGCAAGAATGGCACTTTGTTTTAGCAGCCTGAGCTAAGACGTTTTCCCTAAAATCAAATTAATGACTTCCTTCATTGGTGGATTGGTACCAGGTAAAAATCCACTAGACCATCACTATGATAAATTGGGGTCACTGGACAAGAAAGCCAAGGCTCCCCGGACCTGCCCCACCTCCACTCCTGTCAAGTCTCGTAGATAAACACCAGCCAGCTGGCTGATCTTCAGTTTCTCTCTTGAAACTAGGAGAGTGGTGAGGTGGGTCCACCTTTGGTCGTGCCTTTCAAGTCAGAAGGGAGGAAGGAGAAACACAGAGAAACCTTCGAGCCCACCTGTTTAGCTCTTGTTTACCACCCCCAACCAGTGACTCTTTGGGGCCCTGTTCAGTGACTCTGCTATTCTCACTTAGTTGTTTAAGGCCTGAAAAGAGGAGGAAAGAGTGATTGAAACCCTAACCTTCCAGCCACTCTGGTTTTTACTGTGGAGTTAACTGTGGGCCTATTAGGATCACAAATTCCTTTGAAAATAAATGAAAGCTCCCCCCGTCCATGCATAATTTGTGTTGTTTATAATCAGAGGAGGTTCTCAGATTCTCCGAATTCACTAACCACCAAGGGCATGGACCAGGACCTCTGAATCAAAAATACCCCAACAGGTCCTACAGGCTTTGATTCTTTTAAAGAACTCTGTTGTACCAAAAATCTGTTTAGTATCCGCAAAGACACAGCTCCAATTTTAGTGGTTTTAAGTGAGCAACATTCCTTTAATCCTAGGCCTAAGCCTCCTGCTAAACAGAGAAATTCTGGGTGGAACCTTCAAAAGTCGGTTTCTCCATTGAAGGGAAGAGCGTTGGCGGAAATGCCCAAGACTAGGCATGGCAGGTGGAAAAAATGAATGCAATTAGCAGTTTAGAGTACCAGGAAAGTGGTGAAGTGAAGGGACAAATAGGTGGAGAAAGACTGGCAGGATAAGCCTGGCTCTGGACTCTGGTGCTGTTGAAAGTTTGCAAAGTAACTTGTGAAGCATGACAGGATGAGCAAACACTCACAGACCAAGAAGGCCATGCAAACCTTCCGAGGTTCTGTGCACACTGGGAGCTCTCCCTGCACCCCTGCTGCTCCTGTCCGCGTTCACACGGCATGTGTTCTCCCCAGGCAAGGACAATTCCTGAACGCTTCTTTTATTGCAGCATCTTCATTTTGCAGGCTGAGAATTAGAAGAAAATTATGCTTCAACACTAAAAAATAAGTGTGTGCACGGTCTATCAAGAGAGAACGTAAGAATAATCATGTTGCATACCCAGACACAGTATTTTTGGAAAAACCTTGTGTATGATGTGAGTTTAGTGTCCCTACATCCACGGGAATGTGGCTGGTACATCCAGATGCATCCCAGTTAGTGGGAATATCTACTCATTGTGCTGTCGTCCTACTAATGAGAGTGCTATAGAATGAGGCACCATCTACCTCTTTGATCCTTACCTGTCAACGAGGAGGAGACATTGGTATGGGCGTTGTCCCAGGGCACTGGCTCCTAGTGACACTGTGCTGCCATTTCATGGATGTAATCTTGGCACCCTCAGTGCTTGGTTACTAAATATTTATTACCTTAAAAGTATTCTGGGATTCTAAACACAGCTTGAAATCAGTGACCAATCAATTTTCAGGGGCTTTTCTTAGGCAAAGGTCACCTGCTACTTAAGTAACTTGGCAGCCTGCCCCTTGGGCTTCCCTCAAGGATCATTTCAAGCACATGACTCAT